TTCGAGTACATCCCAGCGCCCACATCGTCTCGCCAGCACAGACAGCTAGCATACCACACGTTAGCGTAGGAGCGTTTCCCCGTCCGAGGACATCATACATTCTCGTTATATTTCAAGTCTACGTTCGCGCAGCTGCGTGAACATTTTATCGGGAGTTCTATTTTACTGAAGCCAGCGAGCTCTACTTATCCCGAGATTCTCTACGACCGACCTGCGTGCGGAACTGCAGCGACAGCGTACCCAGGCGAATTCAATCACGACCAGCGGATCCCTACAATAAGCGACCGTGAGTCTAATATTCCTTCTTTGTACTCAAACACTAAACCGGTAGGATCCGAGCGACCACCTATCGTTAAAATTAATATTATTCTCAATACATTATTACTCTGATTCCTATATTGTCATTTATTTCGCATTTGCGTATATTCCATATTACTGCATATTGTATTATTGCATTACTACTCTGATTTTATATTGTTACTCATTCTATATTGTCACTTGTTCTATATTTCTACATATTATTCTTAATACAGTTATTATTCCAATTCCAATATTGTCATATATTTCTTATTGTCATTTATTTCAAATTGCCATACACTCTGTATTCTTGCATATTATATTAACCATTAAACGCCGTTATTGTACTCGCTCTCAATTAAATTACAATCATCATATTACTGCTCTCTCTTTAAGAACGATCTATATCCAGTACATCCTTTACACTCTGGCAAACCTTACATACATTCTTTGGTCTCGATGCTTCACTGGCAACTGCGTCAGTCGTAAGCCATATGCTTCTACACACATTCCTGCAGAGCTGCGGTGTTCTTGTGACACCATATTACTGCTTGTGTACCGGGTAGCGTTAACCACTCTTAGTCACATTATTCTTGCTTGCTAAGACTGAGCTCTGACAGTTTCGGTAGCATCTCACGAGCGCTCCGGAGCTTAATTAATCACAGCGAATTGCGAAGTACCGCGAGAAGGCCTCCTGACTGACAAGTCGGTCGAGTCCCGATCGAGACTTCGACAGATCCATTGCAACCAGGATCTTATTAATTAAAATCTTGAGAGACCAGAGACAACTTCACTGCTTATTTCCATACCTTACCATTTTAATCGTTCTTACTGAGATTTTCCAATTAAAATCAAATCAAGTACAGCGTAGAATATTTTATTTAATATATTAGATGCCGAA